TTACAGGACTGAAAGGACCCAGCGGATCCAGGGCATGCAGAGCTCCACACATCCTTGATGTGCAAAGTGCTACTGGCCCAGCTCAGTCCACCCCCTGCTACCTCACCAGCTCCATTTTGTGCCTTGAGCCATAAGAAATTTCCAAAATGTTCCTTGGGTCAAGTTTACTCCAGTTGGGTTATCAAAGCATAATTAATTTGTTTTAAAGTAATGTATAGTTTAGGACCACAGCATTAGAAGTACTAATTGGGTTATGTGTTGGCCAGTGTTATGAAATATACTGAAAATGTAAAGACTGTTAAGATAGCTTATCTGTATTTAAACTAAGGCAGTGGAATTTGAATATATTAGACTAAGAAAGAATAAAAATGTAATATTCTTTGTTTAAAAATCAATGAACCTCATCAGAGAGGGAGGAGCCACACAAATACACATTAAGATGGCAGGGAAAGAGGCGAGGTGGGTCACAGTATAAAATATTATTGAATACTGAAGGAATAGATCCATTTATGGCATCACCATTTATAAATCTGACCACCCCTTTCAGAACCTATTTCTATTTCCTGCCTGCATCTTCTGTGGGCAATGAATTCTACAAATTTATTACCTGCTGTTTGAAATAATACTCCCATCAAGTGTACCAGGAAACCAGCTCTTCCAGCAGGGAAGGTGACTGAACTTTATGCCAGTTATTTCTGCTCATTAAGTATGGCAGAGCTATTTGTGAGGTGGAGAGATCTTCTGACAAATCGTGTCATTGTGATGCATCATTTTCATAAATTATGTTACTATGCAGATTTAGGAAGCCCAAGGAATTGGTATAATTTTATCTTATGGACACTGAATTGTATTTCCATCTTTGGAATGACTGTAAGAGAGTGCAGAGCAAAATTTATGGTGCTCATAGCTCATGAGTAAGACTTCAATTTGTGCGTTTCTGTACTAGTCTCACTGTTGACCTTATTTTCTGTCTTCCTTTGGTTGTTCCTTAATTCCTCATCCACCTGGAATCTATATTGTCTTGCTGTGCTGTATAAATATTTGTGAGATCCAATAAACCCTTTGAGTAAGAGATGAGGAATTGACAAAGAAGAGAGAGACAGACAGGCAGGCAGAGGGAGACAGAAACATGGAGAAAAGACTAGGACAAAAAGAGAGAGAAGCAGAGAGTGGGAGGGAGAGGAATCAGGAGCTGAGTCAGAAAAGACACAGGGGGCTCCCTGTGGTGTTTATGGAATTCCTATCAGCACTAACCCCATATACCTCATAAAACCTTCAAGTTTCAGTAGAGAGCCAGCAAGCAACAAAATACATTAATTATTCGATCAAATGACAGATACAGAGGAGAGTCCCATAGAAGCAGAGTGTATACACTTACTCCACTGTATTTTAAAAAATTAAGTCAGACTTACCTAGACCCTGATTTTCATTGGTTTGATTCTGTTCTAGCAAATTATTTGGTCTAAGTGATCTTTCACTAAAAGCAGTTCTAGTAACAAAAGCAACTCCAGGGAGATGCGATGCAGGGCAGAGGTGGGGTTCTAAATGATAAGGCAGTTTGTTTATATCAGGATGTTTAGATCAAATATTGCCTTACCATTTCACGCTCCTTCCTCCTGCTCTGGTGTTTTGGAAATCCTTTGCTGATTCCTTTCTTTCACAGGCTCCTGCTGTGTTCTGCAACTCCTCTCTTCAGGACCCGGCCCAGGCCACCTCCCCTTGGATTTGCAGTTCTGCCCACTGTTTTGTGTGCAGCAAGTTGGCTTGATGCACCCTACTAGAATCTAGTCCTTCTTCTGTACACTGAAAGACTCATCAGTATGCATCAGAGCTCATCTTATGGGCTATGATTGTTGATGTAAACAACAGAAACCACCGACTCTGGCTAACTAAGCAGGAAAACAACTTATCTGAGGGCCATGAAAATGCTCAGAATCAAGGAAAGGCTGTAGCTCCAGGCTCAGAAAGTGGGCAGGAGCCCAGCAAAGCTCAGTGGTCATTCTAAGTCACTAAGCTGTAATCCTCCTGTCTCAGTCTTCCAGAATGCTGGGATTCCATCACACCCAGCTAAACCTGAGACCAGCTAAAATATTCTTTAAATACATTTTAACCTTGAGTTCTTTGGCTGGCTTTCTATGCATTGACTAAACAAATGATAATTGACTTGACTTTTCAAACAAACAAACAAACAAACAAACAAACAAGCAAACCAAATTTTTTTTATTTCCTTATCCTGTCTCTGCTTATTCTCTTCATCATATCATTCCTCCCAATTACTGAATTTGCTTATTCTCTGCATGGTAAGAAACGTGACCTTCCTAAGAAGGTAATTAGCTTTTATATCAGCTTAGCATTCCCTAAGTTTATATACTCCACAAATCCTTAAATTCCTTGAGCCATCTCAAGAGACTTGGGAAGGGATTCAGTAACCCTTACATTTGGGTAATTTATTTTCTTTTGTTTTCCTCTAATCATAGCTCTTCTCCATTCTCCTAAGTTTAACAATTACTTACTTCTTTAGGCAGCACATTTTTTTTTTTTTTTTTTTTTTTGGTACCAGGGATTGAACTCGGGTCCTTGCACTTTCCAGGAAGGCAACGGAACCACTGAGCTAAATCCCCAGCCCTACATTTTTTTTTCATATCCTTTTCTTCATTAGTCCATGTGTGTAGCACAGAATGCTCACAGTCCTTGTGTGGAGTTGCTGCCTGTATGTAACACATTTTCATTCTGTTTTTCATCTCTTCTCCCTTCCTTCCCCCTATCCATCTGTTGATCCCCTTTCTTTTTTTCCCTCATTTAAAAAAATTTACTTTTATTTTTTTGGAGACAGGATCTCACTGTGTAGTCCAGGGTGGCCTTCAACTCTTGGCGATCCTCCTGCCTCAGCCTCCCGGTAGGATTATAGGCATGTGTCACCACACCAGGCTGGACTAGAGTTTTGTCTGCTCCTTTTTCACAGCAAACCTGAAGTGTCTAACTAAGAACATCTGGTCCCAGAGGTGCTCTATGAAAATGTGTTGAATGAATGAGTTTGTCTGGGCTAGATAAGAAATCAACAGGAAAAGGATGAAGAACCAGAGAGAAAACTCAGAAAGAGATAAACTGAGGATTTTGAGGAGAATGAGGAGATATAGGAGTGATTAATAAATCCCCGAAGCCGGGGGTGGGGATGGAGCTCCCCTGTGATCTCAGCACTTGGGAGGCTGGGGCAGGAGGATTGCCACAAGTTGGAGACCAGCCTGGGCTACACAGTGAGACCTTGTTTCAAACAAAGCAAAACAAAGCAAACAGGAAAAGAGAGAGGGAAGAAGGGAGGAGCTGGTTGTGGATTCTAGGGTATTCATTATCCTTTATCACTGTTTATTCCCTTAAAACACAAACCAAATCATGCCCTTTGCCTGCTTCAAGCCCCGCTGTGGTTTCCATTACAGAGAATCAATCCAAAGCCCTAATTTTGAGCTGTACCGCTGGCCCCTGGCTGCTCTGGGGACACGAGCTCCCCTCTCCTTGCTGCTCCTTGGCCACACTGATATAGAGGGGTCGACATAACCCTCAACCCACTAGATGTTGATACGGTGAGTTCATGTCCCCGAAAGTCGAAGAATGAATTCTAAGGAACAAAGGAGGTTAAGAGTAGGAAAATGTATTGAGGAATAGGAATGGGGGATAAGAACATCTCCTGGAAGACAGGAGGGTCCCAAATGGGTTGCCCCTTCATTTTATTTTTATTAGTACATGTTTGCAGTACTTAATGGTTACATTCATCATGGGGAGTTGGTGCACATGCATAACACATCTTTGTTCTTTTTTTAAAAAAAACCCTTGTCCCCACCCTCCCCTTTTCTCTCTCTCTTGGTTCCCCCTACTTCTGCAATTATTTTTAGTTGGGATAAAAAAGTAGAGTTTGAGAGTGGAATATGTAGAGAAAAAGCTTAAGTACTATTTATTTGATAAATGCATGTCAATCTGATTATGTTTCTTGTACTTGCAATGTCATAGTAATACTTTACTTAGATGGAAGCCACCTTTAAGTAACAAGAGAGATTATGTGAGGGAAAGTTGCAACTGGGTAGGAGCAGAGGAAATGGGACACCTAAAGATGACATAAAAATCAGTACTATGTGTGAACCTGAGCCAAAAAACCAGCAAAAACTATAGGTAGCCTCATTTCATCGGAGTTTCTAAAGTCTCTGGTGAAGGAAACTTCATTTCTTCTTTGGAGCTCCATTCTTGACTAAGTGGGTACCATAAAAACATGTATGATCATCAGCATTGGCAAAGCAAAGATATCATAAAGTTAATTTGACCATTTAAAATAAAATGATTTCCAATTTCTGTAAACCATTCATAAATATGCTATATATACTCACTCCAAAAGAACTTGCATGATACTACGAGACAACATAATCTATAAAATCTAAATCTATCGCCTTCTAGGTGCCCTAACACATGTCTGTTAATTCTTCCATGATTATTGTACCTAATGCTCATTTTATCTGCTTTTTATTATTTAGAAGATTTGTAAAAGTAGTCTGGATGACTTGAAAGACAACAGCTGCAGGGACATGTGTGGGAGAAAAAGAAGGTATTTACGAGTCCACCCTGGAGTAGAGGTTTGGCCACCCCAGAGCCTTACCCCTCTGTGGGCGCTCAGAGAATCACTGGCTGGCTGTGGGCAGTAGTGATAACCTGTCTTCCATGGGAAGCCATGTTTACAAATGGAGGCATCTCTCCTATCCAGTTTGTAGGGAAGGAGGTTCATTCACCTTCTCTTCGCCTTTAGTGCTCTGGCCAGCTCTGTCCTCTTGCAGGCAGACAGCTGCATTCTTGTCATCTGCAGATAACACTTGAGCAGCCCTTTATCCATTACGTCCCCCTTAGCAGCACTCTAGTATCACCTCCCTCCTGGCTGGCTGCAGCGGCCTCCTCATTATCTCCTGGTCCCTGCTCTCGCTTTGCCTTCAGTCCATTAGTCAGAGTAATCTTAAACACGTAGATTAGATAATGTCACACACTGCTTTAAAGTCGCCGGTGGCTTTCCCTGCACCACTCTTCCCATTGCGGTGTGGAGCTTTATGACAGGACCCTGGCAGTGTCAGGGCCAGCAATGGGTTGACATCTTCGGTGTTAGCTTGAGATGAGCCTGGACAGACAAGGGGAGAGTGAGGAGGCCCTGAGGGAGGTGCACAGGCCAGAGGAGCAATGGTGAGCAAGGGCAACCGCCGGCCCTGCAGACGGGAGGAGAGTAGGGTGTGGGAGTGGGAGCCAGTGGGCAGGTGGGGCCGTGTCACTGGCACTTTGGCGGCTTTGGATTTTATTCTGGGACAGCAGAGATCCTCTGGCTTTTTTTGGGCAGAAGGGTGCCACTATTATATAAACAGACCAGTGTAGAGAGTGGCTGGACGGGGCCCGGCCTGAGCTGGAGGCCAGGCGAGAGGCTGCTGCAAAAATGCACGTGGAAAGGGAGGAAGGCTTGGCTGAGGCAGGGCAGCAGGCCCAGAAGGGCAGCGATGCCAGGGCACTTAGGAGGGGAAATCCATAGGACTTTGGACACAGGGCTGGGTGAAAAGAGATTTTGAGATGGCTACTGAATTTCTTACTCGGCTGAGGCAATTTAGTTTTGGACATGCTGACTTTAGAAGTTTACGGATCATTTCAGTGGAGAGGCCCCATGGGCTGGACTAAGACTAGAGCTGGGAATCTTTATGCCTTTGTCAGATGAATGAAAATCAGAGCTCTGGGGGAAAGCACAGACCTGTCGCCATTGCAGACCTGTCGCCATTGCAGCACCGTATTGCCTTTATTATTATATAGATGGTACCCGCTCCTGTGAGAGTCCATGAAGTCAGTGGCAAAAGCACACAAAGAGATGAGGACAAAAATGGTCCCTATTTAAGGCATTAGGGGATAGGAGCCTGAAGAAGAGCAGTCAGAGGTAGAAGAAACTCCAAGAGAGAGAAAGGGTTTGGGGCCAATGGGAGAGATTTCAAACAAGGAGCCACTGCTGATAGAGAACCAAGTAAGTCACGACTCAGAATGCCAGTTTGGTTTACCAATCCAGGGGAGGAGGGCCGGAAAAACTGTGCCTGTGTTAAATATGTTGAGCTTTCATCCCCTGTCAGGCATTGTGTGACGCACCACTCCTGCAATAGCTCGGATACACTCAGTTGGGTGTCAGTGAAGCAACACAGGCTGGCCTCAGATGACACAGGGTGGATGGGACAGGAGTAGGTGAGAGAATGGAGATGTAGGGAGGTTGGACTCCTGGGTCATTGGCCTGTGGAGGGAGCAAAGAGATTGAAGAAGAAATTCTAGAGATGGAAGATCAAGAAAAGATGGTGATGATGATGGATGACGGTGGCAAGACAAGGCCACATCTCTGAGGAGGGAGGAAGTTTGAGATGGACGCTCCGGGGGAATGATTAGTCCTGGATAAGAAGAGGGACATCTCCCAGGGACACAGGTGGGGTTAGGAGTGGAGGCAAAAAGGTGGAGCTAGTGGGGCAAGAAGGGGTGGACAATGAAAGGAGTTTCTTCCTCATATCCCCATTTGTCCCTCCGTGCACAAAGAGGGGAGTGGTGAGAAAAGACACTTAGAAAAGCAGGTAACGTTTAGAGATTTCTGATGTAAAGAATGGAAGGAGACACACAGGAGGAAGGCCAAGCACCATGGAGAGTCCAGGGCTTTGACTTTTATGCCCTCCAACTGTGTATGTGATTCCGTCTAACAGTTCCATGATGGAAATGGAAAGCTAGTCAGTTGCCCTGGCACTGTCTGGGGATTCCTTGAGCTTATATGATAGCCTCTTGTCAAAGAATCCTAGGTAAATGTTCCAAAGATGAATTGAGGAAGGTAACAACACGATACCAGCTCAACTGACAGTGTTAAACCTTTGCTGGTGTAACAGGGAGGACTTCGTTCTTGGTTGAAAGTCCAGAAAGCCCACGGCTAGTCATGGCATTGGAAGACAGCCAGATGGGAGAACTCACCACAGATGTCCCAAAATAACAACTGAACAGGGGACAGTAAGCCTGGTGAGGGGACTCTTCCTGATAGCTGGGGAGGAAGAACGGAAGATAAAGTGGCAGATGACATGGAGAGATGCATCTGTAATCATTCATAGATACCAGAACTTTCTCATGGAGACACTGCGGTATTTCTCTCCCTACCCTCATCTGTTCATTTCTATAATAAAAAGGATCCTAGGAGAGGAATAACACAGCCAGGAAATGCTATGGACTCCAAGACACAGCAATTCTGTAAGAAACTCCTCAAGCTCTTTGAGGGAAGGGTGGGAACTGACAAATTTGTGCCTAAAGCCAGTGCGCTCTGGTTTTAATGCTGCGTGCTCTGTGATTTACCAGCAGTTGAATGTGGGTGCAAGCTGACATAGAATCTTGGAGCTGGAAGGGTTGTATCTAGCCTGAAGGAGAGCCCAGTGACAGCTTCATTTGCACGTCATCTCACCAAAGACTGAGGGCGGCTCCCTTGCCAAGCTTTCTGTCGGTTATCAGTGGAAGCATTTGTGACCCTGCCTGGCTCACCAAATCCACTGCTTCGCTGTCATTCCCCGAGCTTAAGCCTGTTGCCTTGTCCTGCTTGACAGGTGCAAAGGTTAGGTTTTTTTCAACATGTAAGCTATGTGCAAGGCATGATAAAAAATACAGTGGATGATGAACTTAAAATTAATTACAGTAGGACACATTGACATGAATCTCCCTCAAAATATTCCCCTTGCTTCGAACACACATATCCCATCATTCTTGGCCATGTATCCTTTGCTGTAATACATAGAATTTAAACATTCACTGTATTCTCTGATCACCCCTGGTAGCTGTGGCACCTCCTCTGTCTCCCCCAATGCAGTCTGAGCTTCTGTGCCACACAAAAGGAAGAAAGTGGGGTTCGGGTGGTTCCTACTGGGGCATGCAGGAGTGTGAGGAAGCAGCAGCTCTCACAGCAGTGCAGGAGCTTCTAGTGTGTGCTCCTGGCTCCTCTGTCTTCCGACACTCTTCCCCAAGGGACTGGGCTGATGATGTCATTTCTCACACAAATGCCAAGAAATTGACACTTGTATCTGCCTGCCTCGTAAAATGACTTCCATCAATCACCACACCTGCCTGATAGCATTACAATGTTAATCACAAAGAGTTTTCACCAAAGACTTGGGCTTTTTAATACAGTTAAGTGCCAGCCTGTGGCCATAGGTTCCTGTCTCTCCAGCCCCTGCTCCATCCTGTTAATTTTCTCTCTTTTTTTTTTTTGATAACCAAATGATGTGAAGCAGAGGCTTATTTATTTTTCCAGTTCTGGGGATCAAATACAGGACTTTGGGCATAGTGGGCAAGGGCAAGTGCTGTATTAGAGCTGTATTCCCAGTCCCTGAGGCTCTTTTAATTATGGAATCACTAACATAGTATATAGGGATATGTTTCAAGGTATCCTGTCCAGTATGAGGATGGAAATGAGGAGAAAGTTTAAACATTCTTCCTTTCACAGGACTTGTTTGGTTCAAAATTACTGTAATATTTTTACTAAAGGCGCTCCACAGTTAGTATGATCAGTTTTTTCTGTATGATTTTATCTGCTGAGAAAGGCAGAAGGTGCCACTTTAGGCCCTGCCAGGGCCTACCTTCCCAGTTTCTCTCCAGTATGTAACACCACCTCTTGAGGGCAGAGGTTTCCTCACAATCATTACACCATTACATGCTCCGTGATAATCCATGGTGATTATTCACAGTAAGGTCCATTATTTCAGAAAAGGCTTTCCTAGTTTCTCTATTCATAGGATTTCAAAGGTGACACTTAAGCAAATATTCAGCAAGGCTTTTCTACAGTGAATATATGGGTTTTTTTTTTCCCTATGTTTGTGACATAAAAATACATAATTAATGACTGGAGGCACAACCACATTCACTACATTCATAAGGTTTCTCTCTGGTGCAAATCCTCTATTTTCTCCTGAGGGTGGACATCTGACCGTTGGCTGTCCCACAGGGACCACACTCCTATTTGCTAGGAGCCCACTGATGTTTGACATATCAAGGGTCATGGAAGATATTTGCACAGTTACATCAACAGGGTTTCTCCTTTGCAGGAGTGTACTACTGTCCGATAAGGTGTGACTCACTGTAGAATTTTCTACCTTCATTTAATCACTGCATTTCTTCCTGTTGTGTTCTCTTATGTTTAACAAGGCAAGACATGTAAGAGTAGGCTTTCTTACACTCATCACATCCATAGGGTTTCTCTTCTGTATGAGTTCTATGATTGGTAATGAGTTTCACTTTTGTAATGAAGGCTTTCCCACAGTCACTGCATTTATAGGGTTTCTCTCCAGAGTGAATTGTCTGGTGTCTAATGAGAACTGACTTCTGTGAACACGATTGTCCACACTCAGCGCATACAAAGGGCGTCTTTCCTGTATGGTATCTCTGATGTGCTATGAGGCACATCTTCTGGGTGAAAGCTTTACCACAGTCAGTACATCTGTAGGGTTTCTCTCCTGTGTGAATTTGTTGATGTATCATAAGATTGCCCTTCTGAATGAACTCTTTTCCACATTCACTACATAAATAAGGTTTCTCTCCTGTATGAATTCGCATATGCACAATGAGGGGTGATTTCCTGGCAAAACTTTTCCCACATTCGGGGCACACATGGGCCTTATTTCCTGTATGTATTTTCTGATGCTGAGTAAGCTGAGATTTCCTGAAGAAGGCTTTCCCACATTTACCACATTCATGGGGTTTCTCTCTCTTGTGTACAGTCTGATGTTCAGTGAGGTTGAACTTCTTGCAGGTTTTCCCACAGGTATTACATTCATGGGGTTTCTGTCCTAAATGAACTTTCTTATGTTCTGTGAGCTGAGACTTCTTGAGGAAATCTTCCCCACATTTAGCAGATTCATGGGCCTTCTCTATTTTATATGTTTGTTGGCCTTTAAGGAATTGTGACTCTGCGTTGGTAGATTTTCTACTTTCATGAGATTTAACTTTAGTATGAGTTTGCTCATGAGTATCACAAAGAGAGGAGCTCCTATCTGCATTTAACTCAGCAAGCTCTTTTATGGTATATCTTCTGCTCCGGTTGGATAAACCTAAATATGGTTTCAAAATTTTTCCATGTAAATCAAACATGTCATGATTTGGCCTTAAAGGAAAATGATGTTTGCACCTCCGAACATTTCCAAGTGCATTCTGTTCATAACATTGTTCCACCCTCTTTGGCCTTTTTTGGTTTTGCAATTGCTGCTGCAGATGATCATCGGCTTTCTCAATTTCTGAAGATCTCTCCTGTTTTTGCTTTAATCTTTGCTCCAGAAAGATGCTTGTTTCTAAGTTCAGTCTTTTATACTATGTGTTATACTTATCAATTATAATCACAGGGTTAGACCCTCTCATTTAATGACCTGTTTAATGTATTTACAACCTGTCTTTTTTTTCATACAGTTCTGTACATCTTGTTTATGGAGCTTCAATTTCTTTTTTTTTTTCAGTACACCTGGTTTATATATATATATATATATATATAGTATATATAATAGTACTATATATATACTATGTATAGTATATATAGTGTATATAATAGTACTATATATATACTATGTATAGTATATATATAGTATATATATAGTATGTATATATAGTATACATATATAGTACTGCATTTTTTGCTTCTACTGTATAGTGTGTGTAGTTTTATGTTGTTATATATTACAGTACTGTGTGTAAGAGTTATACAAATAAAAGCCAAGTCATCAAGTTGGAGTTTCCTTTGACCATTCTTTGTTCTGAATACTGTAATGTACATACTACAGTATATACAATTCCTCATTTACCAACCAATTCATTTAACATCCTAGCTGCATAAATGGAGCTCCGTTGTTAAACAGGGAGTGTCTGTGGTGTCTTCTTGCTGTGTTCTCACATGGCAGAGGGCGGTCAATGGTATTTCCCGGATGGGCTTGATTGTGGATTTCATCTTCTAATGTCCACAGTGGCTCTCCTTGTTCCAACATGGAGAGGACATCTGGCCTGCTGGCTTGAAGCACCACTGACACCAGCCTGCTGTAGTTCTCCAGCATCACATCCCGGTACAGGTCCTTCTGAGCAGGGCCCAGGAGCTGCCACTCTTCCCGGGTGAACCTCACAGCCACATCTTCCAGGGTCAGTGACTCCTGGGCCTTTGTCATTTTCCTCTACTTCAGGAACATCCAATAACTGAGATGCTCTGTCTTTAGTATCTTCTGGATCTGCCTTAAATTTTTACTTAGAAATCTGCATCTTTGGTCAAGGGTACCCCAAGAAATGATGATATGCACATCCAGGAAATGCCACTTGACTGTTCTTCCAGGGAGCAGGACCCTGTTACACCAGCAAGACCTACAGGTGGCTAGGCGAATTCTCCATCCTGTTAATCCTCACAGTGAGTCTGAGCATCCCCCCCTTCTTCCTGGAAGGCCTGGGGGGGGGTTGCTGTAGGTGGCGCTCTTTCCTCTGACTTCAGGCCACTCTGCGGAGCCCTTGTCCAGAAGGCACTGCCTCCGTTGGTCCAGGAGGCAACTCTCAGGAGCAGGGGAGGAAAAGGGCGTCTGCTAATCCATCAGAAGCCCGGCTTCGCTAGAGCCCCATTGTGCGGCTATTCGAGGCTAGAGTAGTGATCAGCACGTGGACAGATGACAGTAGCCAGCCCTGATGGGCTTAGCTTCCAGCTCCCACTTGGGCCAAGGTGAAGGCTCCTCTCTATGCTAGATGGTCAGAGATGTCACTTCATCGCCATCTTTTTAAATTCAAAATCTATTCCTACATCCACAGAACCTAAGGGATAACTTGGGCTTTTGGGCTTTTCACAAGCCTCAATGTCAACTCTATTAACCTGGCCACGCAGTGTTTAGGAGATTATATTTTACTGAGCTTAAGCAAGAACATCTGTGGCCTTACTTATGAGATTATTCACTCTTTACAAACCACTGCCTAATACCTGGTTCGAATCTCCATTCCCTATTTTTCCCCCCAGCAATATCATTATGTCTAGGGATATAAATAAATAAATCTGATATCGGTCAGCAATTATGGGTTAGGGATGGTGGCAGTCTCACAGTAAATGAATTGATTAAAAATCCATATTTTTCTACAGATTCTGAGTATTAATAAAAGAAAAGTCTTTTGTGTGGTTGTACTCCATATACACTATAGACAAATTAGAAAATGTAAGAAACAAAAGGAAAAAAATCAAATCAACCAAAATGGTAGCTTTGCATATAATTATGTGTAGATTTTCTGCCTTTATCTCTCACGCTGTCTTATCCCCTTATGTAACACACACACACACACACACACACACACACGCACGCACACACACGTGCCCATCAGTGAAACCGTTGTGGCCCAGCTGGAAGCAGATGCCCCCTGGCTGAGCACCCTGCCTGGGCCCTTACACAGGTGGGGCAGGTGTCAGGGAGACTGAGAAAATGAGCCGGTGCAGGGGAGATCTGAAGGTCTTGAGTGCTGGGCTTGGCTCCTAGTGGTTTCCTCAGTGAGAGGTACTGGGGGAGCCCCGCAGGCAGAGGAGGCTGAGGTCCAGGGGGAACCCCAAGTCCTGCCAGGGTTAGTCAGGGCTGGCTGGAAAGCTTTGCCACAGCGCTTTGTCTCTGCTGTCCCGGAACTTCCCTCTCCTTTTGCCCTCTGACTCGCAGCTCTTTTTTGTTGTTGTTGTTTTTCTTTTGAGACTGGGTCTCACTAGGTAGTCCAGGCCAGCCTTGAACTCACTGTGTAGACCAGGTTGGCCTTGAATTTGCAGTGATCCTCCTGCCGCAGCCTATTGGGTGCTGGGATCACAGGTGTGCGCCACCACACCTGGCTTGGCTCCCAGCTCTGAATAGCTCCTCTATCTCTTGATACTTTCCCTACACCTTACTTTCATCTTTAAAACAGTTCTTTATTAAACTTTCCCCAAGTATCATCTCTGCTTTCATGTATCATTATGTATTAATTATTGATTTAACTTCATTTTCTAGCTTCTCTTTTGGAATTCCAAATCTTTTGGAAAATATCTATATTTTATTTTTGCATATGTGTGGTACTAGGGATTGCATCTAGGACCTTTACACTGACCTACAACCCCAGCTCTTTTTATATTCTTTATTTTGAGACAGGGTCTCATTAAGTGGGCTAGGTGGGACTTGAACTTGCATCCTCTGGGCTTGCCCTCCCTCAGAGCTAGGATTATAGATGTGCACCACTGTGCTTCTTGCTGTCACGTGGATGTTGCTCCCCAGCCCTGAGTCACAAGCTCATCAGTTTGGCCTTGCGTTCCTTCTTCATTTCTGGATACTGGGGATTTTCCTTTCTTTGGAGCCCAGCTAGATATTTATTTGTTTTAATTCTTTACCTATCATTTCTAAGAGCTTTCACTGAGGTGAAGTTTCATGGCACCCCAGCATCTAGCTCTGTAACTCGCTTTTCTACATTGTCACATTTCTTTTTGTTTGTTTGTTTTTTGGTACCGGGGATTGAACTCGGGTCCTTGGGTTTGCGAGGCAGGCAGTGGAACCACTGAGCTAAATCCCTGGCCCTTACATTGTCTGTCACATTTTGACACAGAAAGATCTCCCTTGTGTATTGTTATCTTCTTTAATGACTGCATGGTGGAAAGAATACAAAGTAGAGCTCATAAGGGTCCTCTCCAGAATCCAATTTCCTGGGTTCAAATGGTCTCTGCTATTTACTGGTTCCACCCCTTGTGCCTCAATTCCCCTATCTGGAAAGTGCTGATAGTATGACAGCTACCTTGCAAGTTTCCTTGTCACAAATCACCACAAGCTTGGCTTAAAATAGCAGAATTGATTCATAGTGCTGGCAGCTGGAGTTCTCGACTCCAGGAATGTGCAGGGTGCAGATTCTGGGGAGTCTTTGGGTGTGGTGGCTGCAGGTGTCTCTTGGCCCTTTGCTCACCCAGTCTCGGCCTCTGCCATCCCTTCCCCTCCTTCCTGTCTGTCTGGGACTCGTTCCGTCTGTTTCTATTCCTGCCCAAGTTGTAATTGACAGTAGACTTGGGGAACAACCTGGCCCCATGCCATTGCTGCTGGCCCCAGGCCCCTGCCCCTGACAAATCAACACATTGACTCATTTGTTCAGTTACAGAAAACATGTAAAGTAGTTTCAGATTTGCTTTGGCAATAACTCTACAGGAAACAAATGTTCTAAGAGTTTACATTTGTCCCCTGATGTTTCCAGCCTTAATCTTCCCTAAGACTAGGGTGACACATACGTCATGCTTGGAAATTACTGGAGTTAGTGCTTTAGTTTGTTTTTCTCCTTGGCTGTGGCTATGGTATCCACTTGAAATGTAATTGGTTCGCTTGTTTTCATTTGTTTTAGGTTTTAAGGGTTCTTTCCTCTTCCTGTCATTGCTGATTTACTTTTTGGAATATGGAGGATATGAAGTAAAATGATACTAACAAACATCCTTGGAGAAGGGTTTGTCCCCTCTGTATCCCTTTGGCCGATCCCCCCCATACCTTGTATGTAACTAGATTCATTTTTTTTCTGTCTCATGTGTTTCTTTATATAAGAAAGAAATTCATGTATGCATGCATTTAATTTCCATCTATTTTTTATACAAATATGTTTTTTTGCACATTGAGAAGCTTCTTTCTTTCTTTCTATTAGCACTGGGAATTGATTGAATCCAGGGATTTTGCACTGAACTACATACTCACCCCTTTAAAAATTTTTATATTTTAGGGCTGGGGATTTAGCTCAGTGGTTCTGCTGCCTACCTCAAAAGTGCAAGGTCCCGAGTTCGATCCCTAGGCCACGCCCCCCACCCCCGCCCCCAATTTTATATTTTGAGTCAAAGTCTTGCTGGATTGATAAATTGCCTGGGCTGGGCTTGAACTTACCATCCTCCTGCCTTGGCCTCCAAAGTGCTGGGATTACACGTGTGTGTCATCACCCTTGACTAAAGCTTCTCTCTTAATGGGGAAGCAAGAAATGAAGGCAGAAGTGCCACCTGCACTATTTTCAGAATTTTTCTGTTTTAAGTTCTCCCTTTTGCTTCTTGCCAGTACCTTGAAAAATACTCAGCTGGCTGTGCATTTTAATATTTACCGGGGTGTGGTGAAAAGGCTGATGTGGCAGCTCCAAGTGGGTGTGGCTGTCTGCATTGCTGCTGCTGCTGGACCTAGACCGCTCTTGGTGTGGCTGGACCACGTGGCAGACAGCCCTCCTTAGCTCCTAGTCAACTGGAGCCTATGGCTCCTGAGGCGTCTGCTTGCAACCAACACCCAAGAAATCATCTCATGTGACCTATGCTTTCTTTTGGGGCTGGCGGTGGTCCTGGAGGAAATAAACACAAAGTGCTGCTTCATTTTTGATGAAGTGTAAAATATCTTTCTCACTTATTTTCTCTTCCTCTTTCTTCCGTCTGTGTTGAATTGGCCCATAGGATGCTTGCTTCCTGTGAAGATAGCAAGTCATTGCTTGGGGGTGGTACTTATCGAGCAAACACACCTACTTTGCCCTAAAAGGACAAAGAAAGTGCAGTTTAAATCCAGGTTCTCAGGCTAACTTGCTCCCCCTGCCTCTCAGTCTCTGGGTATATATTGGTGATGTTTTTACCCTGGATCCACAGACTTTACACCTCTGCCTTTTGCTACAGACCCTTGGCATTTCCTCAGGTCCTCCTGGGCATTGCTGGGAATCCCAGGGGCCATCTCCACAGAGCTTAGGTTCAAGTCTACTAGCTGTCTTCTCCTTTCCTGAGGGTTGACAGCTGCATCCTTCCCATTGCTGTCCTCTCTCCTGGAGTTGCCACATGTGTCCCCCTTTCCTCCTTCATCCAAACAGAACACTCATGAGTCATGCACATCAATAACTCACTATCTGAGGAGTGTCTCCATTACTGTTCTTATCACTGGGACAAAATATCCGACACCCAAAATTAAGGCAGAAGAGGTTTACTTTGGATCACAGTTGGGAGAAGTGTCAGTTCATAGTTGGCTGGCTCCAAGGCAGAGCAGCATGGCAGAGGGACATGTCAGCGGAGAAACAGTCCATGGCATGGTAGGCAGGAAGCAGCTAGCAGCCTGCCTTTCCCTTCTATCCCATCAAGGCTATAAGCCTTTTGGGTGGTGCCACCCACACACAGGGTAGGGCTTCTGTCTTCAGTAAATCCATTCAGCCATACCCA